GGGGCTTTTTAGTGTCCCCGCGGCCCGGTCCTCGACCAGGCCTCCACCCCCAGGAAGCAGCCTGTGACAGCTGACTAACACCCAGGTACCTATTTTCCTGCTAGGTAACAGGGGCATAGGGTGAAAGAAACTCTGCCCATTGTTTCTCGCCGGCGCCTGGGATCGAACCCAGGACCACAGGATCACAAGTCCAGCGTGCTGTCCGCTCGGCCTAACCGGCATTTTTAAAGAAAATACAATAAATCTTCAACAACTGAAAATTTGAGGTTGAATATCTAATACCAAGTACAAACACCTACAAAAACAGCAAGAAAACAAACAAACAAACAAGGACACCAGCAAGCAAAACAAAAACAGCAGCATCTCGCGTTAAGCTCCGATTTTCACTTGTGATTCAGAACACAAACGCGTCGTGATTCAGAACACAAACGCGTCGTGATTCAAAACACAAACGCGTCGTGATTCAGAACACAAACGCATCGTGATTCAGAACACAAACGCATCGTGATTCAGAACACAAACGCGTCGTGATTCAGAACACAAACGCGTCGTGATTCAAAACACAAACGCGTCGTGATTCAGAACACAAACGCATCGTGATTCAGAACACAAACGCGTCGTGATTCAGAACACAAACGCGTCGTGATTCAGAACACAAACGCGTCGTGTTCTTGGCGCTCACCTTGGGAGCTCACAGCGTGGTGAGGGCGGGTCTGGGGAAGGAGGAGGAGGACGGCCGGTGCCGCCAGCAGGAGATCTTCCTAAGAGGATCGGACACATATATATATAAAGTTTCTCTACAGCTCCTCGGGGACAACTTAGAACTTGGTGACAAGTTGCTGTGGTGAGCTTTATACCTCTCCAGAAATATTTAGCGAGAAAGGTTGGTAAATATCTTACCTGCACTTAAGAAAATTTGATTCAAAGAAATTATGTAAGAAATTAATGTCGACGCTAAATAATTTGTAAATAGAACAAAAATTGAAATGATTTATTAAATACAATTTTTATTGTATTTAACTTGAATAGTTTAAGACAAAAACTTACGTAATGCAAACCTAACCCCGTGAAATGAACCCTTTAGCGTCTGCATCTGTTTGTGAATAGTTTAGCTGTATTATGCAATCCGTTTTCGCACTTGCTTATAGTCAATATTTGGCTTATGAATAAGTGCATATATGACATAATAATTTATTGTGAATATTTGAGTTTACCTTGAAAAGCTGAATAGAAAACACCGACCTAACTTAACCTTCTTAATATGTTAAGATATTACAATTAGTAATAAACCTATACCTATATTGATATTACAGTTATATAAAAATAATAAAACAAAACTAAAATATTTAAATAAATTGTAAAGTAACTGAGGATATTGTCAAATTTTGTATAAAATCTCTATTGTTTAATAAAACTGAGAGGGAAAAGTTAGTGCCTTGAAAAAAATATGGCTTGGAATATATCACATTTATGCTTATTTATAAGCCAAATAGAGACTATAAGCAATAAGTCATATACGTGCTGTTTTGTGGGAGAGCGGGTTGCAAAAACATATGCTCATAGTTCTTTATTTAGAATTTTGTCTTAGCACAGTTTTCGGAGTGAAGGCATTGAGTAGATGTAGACAACACATGAAGCCTCAAGCTAAACTTTCTAATATGCTGCACTCACCTGAGGGGTATAGAAGAAGAACGAAATCTGATTATGTATTTTGGTTCTACAAGGTAGCCAACTCCATCAAAATATTAAATATGTACCCAACTCAAATAATGATTAATCAACCAATTACTCCATGGGATAACTGGGATCTATCAGTTGATTTTTCAATTTTTATTTGCATTTTACACGCAAATTGGACACATTGAGACACATTATGCGCATTAAGACACATTGCTAGTAATGATGACATTCCGCTCCCAGTAATGACACAGTTGCGGTGCATTCCCCGAGTAATGAAGAGGGTTGACGTGAGGGGAGGGCGGTGATTGGCTGCCGTAGACCCTTAGAGGGGAGAGTCTGAGGGAAGGAGGAGAGAGAGAGAGAGAGAGAGAGAGAGAGAGAGAGAGAGAGAGAGAGAGAGAGAGAGAGAGAGAGAGAGAGAGAGAGAGAGAGAGAGAGAGAGAGAGAAGGAAAGAGACGAGGAGGGTTATGAAGATCTGTGGGAGAGGGGAAGAGTTAATGACGAGGGGAGGAGAAAGTAAGGAAATAAAAGAAAGTAAGAGAGGGTAACTGTGGAAAGAGAGGACACAAGACAGTGACGGAAGGAAAGAAAGGGGGGATTAGAGAGGGGGAAATAAAGAAGCATGAATAAGGCTGACTGAGAATGAGATTGAGAGAACTAAAATGAGAAAGGAGAGATGAGGAAGTGTATGAATGACGAAGTGAGAGGGAAATGGGCGTGGGAAGCAGGAGTAAAGAGGAAGAAGGGAAGAGAGAGACAGGTAGAAAGAGGTAAGAAATGAGAAAGAAATGAGAGATGGGGAAGGTATAAGCGAGGTTGTTCCATTCAATGTGTCTCACTCAACATATATATATATATATATTCCTGTTCAGAGAGTGATTAAATCTTATCTCTCTCAAAAAACAACGACTCGTTAGGCTTGGCCTCACCCTGTTCCTCACCTCCTCACCCTGTTCCTCACTTCCTCACCCTGTTCCTCATCTCCTCACACTCACCTTAATCTCACCCTTGAGCTGAGATCTGGTCGAATCCAAACTCCTTTTGCTAATTCTCGGCTCACACGATAAGCTGCTTATTCGACCCCTTTGTCTCATTCTGAATTACCGTCACACACCCTTGGCTCACGCTAATCTCACTCTTATGGCACCCCGAGTCTTCTCTCCGGGCCTCACTCTTAATCACACTCTTAATAGTGACTGATCTCACACTAATTTAACTATATGTCTGGCGTTTGGGTAGGGTGCTATTGCAGTTTCAACTCTCTCTCTCTCTCTCTCTCTCTCTCTCTCTCTCTCTCTCTCTCTCTCTCTCTCTCTCTCTCTCTCTCTCTCTCTCTCTCTCTCTCTCTCTCTCCTCTCTCTCTCTCTCTCTCTCTCTCTCTCTCTCCTCTCTCTCTCTCTCTCTCTCTCTCTCTCCGTCTTCTCTCTTCTCTCTCTCTCTCTCTCTCTCTCTCTCTCTCTCTCTCTCCTCCTCTCTCTCTCTCTCTCTCTCTCTCTCTCTCTCTCTCTCTCTCTCTCTCTCTCTCTCTCTCTCTCTCTCTCTCTCTCTCTCTCTCTCTCTCCTCTCTCTCTCTCTCTCTCTCTCTCCTCTCTCTCTCTCTCCTCTCTCTCTCTCTCTCTCTCTCTTCTCTCTCCTCTCTCTTCCTCTATGTCTCTTTCTCTCGCTCCAATACTCCTCTCTTTATTTACCCTCGATCTTCCTCCTCCTCCTCTTCCTTGTCTCCTTCCTCCTCTTCTTACACCTCCTCCTCCTTCCTAATCCTGGCTCAATCCTCCATAATCCTCACCTGGCATACCTTATGAAGTCTTATAGGATGATTCCCTTCCTATATCACACGTCAGAAGGTTACCTTATTAATTACCACTTGTCCCTGGAGACCCCTTACCTGTGTGTTACCTTACCTGCGTGTGTCCTTACCTGTGTTTCCCCTCACCTGTGTATCCTTCACGTATCCCCTCAGATGTGATTCACGTGTCCCCCCCCCTCCCCCCTCTACCCCTGCGAGCATATTGTCCACGTGTCTCTACACCTGTGCTTAAGACACATGCACTGTAGCACCTGTTGTGTGTGTCTCGGTTGCTATGTGTCACTTGCTATATATATTATCAATGTGTCATTTGCTATATAATACCTATGCGTTAGTTGCTATATATTATCTATGTGTCATTCGCTATATATTACCTATGTGTCACTTGCTGTCACCTATGTGTCACTTGCTGTCACCTATGTGTCATCTAATATTGGTTGAACAAAATGTTCACTGTCCCACACTATTGATTTATGAGATAATATTGCAGGCCAGGCAATGGGGGGGGGGGGGTCGAACCCTGGTCCCTGGACTTCCCAGGCGCACACACACGCACAACCGACTGCACCATGACTGCCTGAGTCCCCCGGGCGAGCCCAGAGACGTAAGTTCGAGCCCATTGCATGCCATCAATTTCAACCTTCACGGATACAGTTGGTTTATTATGTATTAATTTCTGTAATTTCGTAATTACGTAATTACTATATTATATAGATCTTTGTCTCCTATTATAGTCTGCTGCTTCACTGAAGAGTCTCGATTTCCTTGAATATTTTGTAAATGGTGATCATGTCTCACTCATTTTCTTCTCGCCTGTAGCGTCTTGAGGCTCAGTTCCTTCAGTTTATGTTGGTAATTCTTAGTTTTGAACTCTGGGACCATTCTTGTGGCATGGTGGAACTTTCCCCGTAGTGACGCTGCATATTATAACTGGTCTCACGTACGTGGTTTACAGCTTTCGGAATTAGTATTTAACTACACTCCTGAAGGCAGTCCATATGTGTTTTACCAGTTTTGTACATATCCCTTACGGTGTGTGTGTGTACTCACCTAGTTGTACTCACCTATTTGTGCTTGCGGGGGTTAAGCTCTGGCTCTTTGGTCCCGCCTCTCAACTGTCAATCAACTGGTGTGTGTGTGTGCGTGTGTGTGTGTGTGTGTGTGTGTGTGTGTGTGTGTGTGTGTGTGTGTGTGTGTGTGTGTGTGTGTGTGTGTGTGTGTGTGTGTGTGTACTCACCTATTCGTACTCACCTGTTTGTGCTTGCGGGGGGTTAAGCTCTGGCTCTTTGGTCTCGCCTCTCAACTGTCAATAAACTGGTGTGTGTGTGTGTGTGTGTGTGTGTGTGTGTGTGTGTGTGTGTGTGTGTGTGTGTGTGTGTGTGTGTGTGTGTGTGTGTGTGTGCACGCACGCGCGTGTGCGTGAGAGTTCCCGTTAAAAGTAGCCTGTGATCCCCGTCAGCCGGGGACATAATCTTACTGGCAGATAACGAGCTAAAACCAGCCGCGTAGAAAATGGAAGATCAGGGATCAGCACCTCACAAAGAAAACGGGAGAAAAACTTTGCTTATAAACAGGTAACTCCGTTAATTAAGGTGCACCCTGGAGGAGCGGTGCCCTGGCGCGCCCACCGGACCAACACGTTATTAACTGCACTTTTTAATGAGGCTGCAACAGCTGTAGGTGTGGGGCAGGTGTAGGTGGTGCAGGTGTAGGTGGGGAGGGTGTAGGTGTGTAGGTGTAGGTGTGGGGGAGGTGTAGGTGTGGGGAGGTGTAGGTGTGGGGCAGGTGTAGGTGGTGCAGGTGTAGGTGGTGTAGGTGTAGGTGTGGGGCAGGTATAGGTGTGGGGAAATTTTATTCTAGGTGAGGAATGGGGAGTTGATAGGGATGATTTTATGAGTACAGAGAGTACCCACAGGTGTTACCCCTCACAGTTCATATGAGTACAGATGAGTAACACATGAGTATTCCCACAGTCTTCTGGTGACAGCTTAGACACATGTTAACAGATGACTAACGCTGCGAGGCACCCATCTGTCCCCCAGTGCCAGACAAGGAGATTAATGTTCTTCATTTGTTCCGGAGGCTGCGTGTCCCTGGTGGCACGGGGCCAGCCAGTGCCACCACTGACGAGCAGAGGGTGCCACGGGGGGGGGTGATTTAAACCAAGATACACTGGGTCTGATTTAATTATTAGATTTGAGGTTTTATGCTCTGTGTAGTGTGTTTTGTGTGGTGGGTGGGAGGGGGTGATGGTGGTAGTGGGTGGTGGTGGTAGTGGGTGGTGGTGGTGGGGGGTGATAGTGGTAGTGGGTGATGGTGGTACTTATCTAGCAGTGGTTACTTAATAGTGACTGCGAAGGAGTGAGGTTTAGCTCTCCATGTCAACGTCTCAGGAATGTTTAAAAACAAACGCTTTGAGTTCTTTGTCGTATCTGATCTGGAGATTGTGTGTGGAGGTGGCTTTTACCACCTCTTCTTTCAGAGGTCGTAAGAGCCTTTTTGTTGGCCACCCGTACAGGGATATAATTGTTTCGTTTCGTCTCTGACTTATTTGCATTTCCAGCTTCCACTTATCACATCTACTATTTCCTCTCTCAATTTGAAAATACTCGTTTTATCTAATTCCACTAGGAATGTGTATGGAGTGATCATATCCCCCTCTACTCCTCTAAAGCTGTGAGATTTTGTTTCTGTGGCCTGGCCTTGTAGCTAAACCTACTAAGCTCTGGCATTAATTACACACAGAGATCACACTAACGTGATGCATCAAATGAACAAATCCACATGGGCCGTGACGAGGATTCGAACCTGGGTCCGGGAGCATCCCAGACACTGCCTTAACCGACTCGTAGCTCAGTCGATTAATTCAGTGTCTGGGATACTCCCGGACGCAGGTTCGAATCCTCGTCACGGCCCTTGTGGATTTGTGCTCTGGCATTAATCTTGTTGCAAGCCACTATAAACTTTTGTAAGTTCAGTTTAGTGTTGCACAATGAGTGTAGTTCATCCTGGACGCAACCCGTCCTCTTAAAAATAACGTCACTTTTGGCTCGTATGCGCGCTATGGCCAAATTTGGACGTAATTTGAAATGAAATCGACTCACAAAAGTGACGTTGTTCCGTTTTCTATTTGAGTCGTCCGGCGTACGCGCAGAGGTTATAAGAGGACACTTTAAATTAACGTTTTTCATAACGTTATGAAACTTTATGAGAATTTCCTGCCAACCTAACCTATCAGAGGACCCTTAACTTACTGTTGTTGGAAAAAAAAATCACAAATTTAATTTCATTTTTTTTCATTTTCAAATTACGTCCAAATTCGGCCATACGGGCAAACGGCCAAAAGCGACGTTCTTTTTAAGAGGCCAGGTTGGTCCAGCCCTGAAGCTTGTGCCACGTAAGTATTGGCACCTCCGAGTTGACCCGCCATCATTTCATACAATAAAAGTCAAAGGAAAAAGCTAAGAAATAATAATAAATGTGTATGTAAATTCCTGTGCAGCACCTTAAATGTTTATGTCAAAACATCCGGAAACATGGCTGCCGACTAGGCCTCTGAACGAGTAATTTTAATGATGTCATCAACATTTTTTTTTTCGGTAAGCGACAGTCAAACTAGGGTGAGTATTTTTTGTTAAATTTCCCAACATCAGTGCATAATGTTTCATGATATAGAAAGAAATATATAGTTTTGATTTTTTTACGAAGTCAACCCAGTGCCATGGTTGCTGCTGCCTTAACGGTTGCGGGAACATTAAAGCCCCGAAATCATCTCAAGATAACCTCAAGATAACCTTCCTGGGGGGGGGGGGGGTTGCTGTATAAGTTGGCTTCGTTTCTAACCTTCTGTCTTCTGTCGCATTTTGGTGATCTTGTCACTGAATATCATCTTCTTTAAGACTAATTTTCCCCTTCTAAATACATATCATCTCTGTCACAAAGTTATTCTTCTTCAGGTGCTCCATGGTTCTCATCCTGACTACTGTTTCCAGAATTTTACAAAGAATTTGTATTTTTTTTCCTGTTTCTTGTCTACCACAGACGTGGCCATACATTTACAATGCTAACCAGCATATACACATTTTCGTCTGTCCTCTATGGACAGGATTAGAGATCTGTTAGACATCATATAGTGCAGATATTGAGCACTCAGCCATCAGTGACCGTAGTGACTTAACAATGTTAATTACAGGGAATGCCTCTTAATGGTACTGAATTACAGTTTAGTGCTTCCTGCCTCTCCCAGTTTTTTTCTAATAGAGAGAGAATTAGTTTGACTTTTCCCAGATTTCCAGAACTTATCCAGTAGCGAGGGTTCCAGTAGCGAGGGTTCCAGTAGCGAGGGTTCCAGTAGCGAGGGTTCCAGTAGCGAGGGTTCCAGTAGCGAGGGTTCCAGTAGCGAGGATTCCAGTAGCGAGGGTTCCAGTAGCGAGGGTTCCAGTAGCGAAGGTTCCAGTAGCGAGGGTTCCAGTAGCGAGGGTTCCAGTAGCGAGGGTTCCAGTAGCGAAGGTTCCAGTAGCGAGGGTTCCAGTAGCGAGGGTTCCAGTAGCGAGGGTTCCAGTAGCGAGGGTTCCAGTAGCGAGGGTTCCAGTAGCAAGGGTTCCAGTAGCGAGGGTTCCAGTAGCGAGGGTTCCAGTAGCGAGGGTTCCAGTAGCGAGGGTTCCAGTAGCGAAGGTTCCAGTAGCGAAGGTTCCAGTAGCAAGGGTTCCATTGGTACTCCTCGTGAGGAAGTACCCAGTACCCAGAAGTACCGGGTACTATAGTACCCAGAAGCCTTCTTCAGCCGGAAGATATGTTTCTTTGTTCGTTCTCAACGCCTGTCGTCCTCCAACCTCTGTCTTGAAACCTCGAGGAACCTCTCACTGAGTTCCTCACAGACGTTGACGGGGTCCATAAGAATAGTGGCTTGTCTC